TATATCTGTATGCATTTTACAGTACATTCTTAACCGATTTTAACTAAATGTTGTTTAGTGATAACTTATTACTGAGTTTAACGTTAAGACTACTTTTTACTACAGGATTTTTTTCATTCCCATGGGAAAACAAAATAACCAGTTCTTTCGAGTCATCCTTAACATTTATATGAAATTTGAAAGTTAACACGATAGTCATATGTCTTAACAAGATCTACAGAATCCGCAATAGCATACAATGTCTATCTCCTAGGTAAACTGGCAATAACTATTTATATCTAATTAAAACGTACCGCACGTATAAGCGAAGGTGATTCGCTAGTAAAATATAAAATGGAGTGTTCATAATCCTTATCACAATATCATTTTTTTAGTATAAGTTTTCCTCAGTAAATGTTAAATTTAAATTTAAGGGTTATCTAAATTTAGATAAACTTCTTCGTGTAAATAAATGCTGCCAGCTTCAAAAAAAAACAACCATTGTTTTGTTATTACACACATAAAAATAAATACATGGGTGGAACCTGTGAGTGAGCTTTTATAAACTGCAGGTCATTAACATTTGTATGTAGTTTGATAGTTATACGTACATTATCAAGTATAAGTAATTATTATCACGAATATAAACAAAATAATTTAATGAGATTAATAATCAAATTAATTTATTAACTTATTATTTTAAGTAGCTTTCGCTAAATAATTTTAAAATTACACCTACCTAACTCAACGGTTTCATCGAAATTAAAAAAAAAACAAGGTACTCATTCATCAATCATGTTATATACAGTAATGAAATATGTATAAATTTGGAAAGTGTTGGTCATTAACGTAGTTGTTTTGAAGTTTTTTTCGCATAATAACAAGTTCCAGACAATTTTATTAACTAGTCTTCGCCCAGAGATTATCAGTTCGACAATAATCATTATTGAAAATTTAGGGAAAACATATATGAATAGATCTATCTATATAAAAAAAAACTAACTGTTGCCAATTTTTTTATTGATAACACTAAAGCTCGTCAATAGCTATTAAACAAAAAAAAAGGAAAATTGGTTGAAAAACAGAGCAGAAAAAGATACTGAACTGTTCTGTCTTCGCCTATTTATATATTATATAGATAATTGTATTTTCCGAAAGTTAAAGAGTTTTTTTTCCTTCCCTGGGACATAACTTTTAATTTCCGGGAAGTACCTGTCATATAGATACGTATATAGTCAATATTGTAAAAAATCCTTTTTCTCGTAAAACACGCGCAAATTAACACAAAGAGCGACAGGCAGACGTATTTTAATAAACTGCTGCTGGTTTTTATATCGATAATTATAATTTACAAGCTTGAACTCCTTAGAATTTAATAAAAGAATACATTGCACACGTATAATTTTCTTGCCCAGATCTTATGTTTACAATTAGAAAGACGGGATTTTTCATAGAACTTTTTCCTCGTGTTAGTTCAATGTTGGACGGCTAATCTATACATATAATAAAATTCTAACTAAGCCGAATCTGTACATTAAATATTTTTTGAAAAATCTTATTGCAATAGACATTATTATCGGATACAGAGGCCGACTCTATAGTTTTTAGAATTTTTGTCTGTCTGTCTGTTAAAGCATCACGGAAAAACCACTGGAGGGATTTTGATGAAATTTGTATGATGGTAACTGGTTATCCGGGTCAACATATAGGATACTTTTTACCGCGGGAAAGTAACTCATTTCTGAGAAAAAATACAAAAACTGCAATGTAAGAGTATACTAATATGTACCTATAACTTAAAAATTTGTTTTTGGTCATCTGAACGCGGGCAAAGCTATGGGCAATTATAGTGCTATTTATATAACTTTAAACTATTTATCACAGACTTTTCTACTTAAATATTTTAACTACGCCGACAGATAATTTTCAAAATTTATTAGGCAGAAACATTTGAATTATGAAATGCAGGTCAATAACCCTTCCAATAAACTTTCAGCTATAGACGTTGAATACGTACGGGTACCTACATCTATCCTATATTACTGAAATTTAAGTCTTGTTCCTTAGACTTTGATCTACGAGTAAGTCCTTTTTAAATACATATTTGTTATTCTTAGTGTACTTTACTATTTCGTCTATAGATATGCTGGTCGACTACTATTTAATGTTTTATATACAAAACTAAAATTCGGTTCGTCCAGAAAATAAATACACCTTGTTCAGTAAACCTCTCATTCCTGATCGTTTCAAACAGTGACGTGACTTGCCATCGCTTCGCTCGGTGCTTAGGTTGATGACTTTATCACAAAACATCGTTTTTCCTTATTTTCTAATAATAATATGTAAGAGCTATAAATATAAACATATGTACCAAATAAAATCTCTAAATGATAATGAGAACCGTATCATTCGTATCATTGCGTAGACGTGATAACGCTAACGAAATCATGGCCATGGCCAACCTAGTACTACAATTACCAAGAACCATTTTGTAAATTATTGAATACTATAATACTCACCGTCGCTTCGCTCGGGTTCGTCCCTAGGTTGATTCCCAATACAAAATTTCATCCCCATTTTCACCCCCTTAAGGGGTGATTTCCGGGGTAAAAAGTCCTATCCTACGAACTACGTAGGGTCTCAGAATATCTTCTTAGTTCTTACCAATATTTCATCTAAATCGGTTCAGTAGATCCAGAATTACCCCCTACAACCTCACAAACACAAACTTTACCTCTTTATAATATAAGCATAGTTAATAGTTTTTTTTTTTAATTTTTTATTAACAAATAAACGCTCACAATACATCAGAAAAAAAACACTTTTTATTGTAAAACCTGGCAGGTTGTCAACAATTGAGTATTTCTGTTTCAAAATAAAGTAGGTACCTAGTAAAGTTCTGAAAGCTAAGAAATGCTTCACTATTATATATTAGTTTATTTTACTGAACATTTAGAGTATAAACTATGAGCAATTCTAGTTTAGTTGCTTGGGAATTGCTGCGTAAATTGAATCAAAGTATATAAAATATCAACTATCCATACTATCCATATCCATATTCCATACTAATATTATAAATGTGAAACTGTGTTTGCTTGTCTTTCTTTCACGTCGAAACAGCTTGTCGTGATTTTTTGTGTGGAGATAGTTGGAGGGCTATGTAGGGGGAGGTATGTGTAATGAGTGTGATCATATTCCTAATATATAAAAATACGGACGCATGTTAGCTTACACCCAGACGAAGCCAGGGCAGGTCTTTAGTTATTCTTACATATTACCATTTAGGCGAGTACAATACGTCTGCTATATAAAACATAGTGCATGTATGTCACCAAGGCGCGGTCAGCTTTCATGGCAACCAATTGGCCAATTATCTATGTTAAACCAAGGTCGTTTCAAGGATTATTTCTTTATCTCAATAGCTTCTATTTATGAAATTGGAGCTGTATGTCATTTTGAGTTTTAACGAGTGGCGTTAAATAAATGCATCAAAAAGTAGAAACTCATCTCTTTCAAAGATAGAAAAGAAGAAATCGAAAAACAGATCTCTTTCGAATTAACACCTTCAGGTAAATTTCTAGGAAATCTATTGTTACCTGTAACGCCGGCGTGTCCGCGGTCGTGGAGGGATTAAGATCTATTTATTATACAGATAATTATAAACTATTTATTATCTATGGATTGAAAACTTTGATTGTTTCAATACTTTATACGATGTTGTAACTACATTGAGTGATTTTACGTGAATTTGCCAGTTTTTTTATCGAATACGATTCTCACGTAGTCGATTTTTCTCATATAAGATGATTTTGCTGGTAAGAAATGTATACCAATACAAAAACATAATAGAAAGTATGTTTTAGTATGTTTCGTTTGTACTAAGAATTTCTTAACAGGTCATATTTACAGGAAATGTATTAATATCAATAACTTTTATTAGTTTCCTTTGATCTACTTCGGTGTTGTTTCCTTAATGCAAACGGGAGGTCATAGATGAGTCAGGCTCACCGTGCGTGAGTCGTAACTATAGTTTCACATGGGTATATAAATACATATTAACAACCATGTTAATTTAACTTCTCTCTGTTAGGCACAGGCCATCATCCAGCCATTAAGCTTGACAAATGCCTGCTGGCACACCTCACTCGCCCTAGTTTCCTCTAAATGTTACCAAGTAGTCATCATGTTGTAACGATTCGTAGGTACATGAAAACGTTAAAGATGTGATCCGCTTCACTCCGCTTCCAAATCCATTTGGAAAACCAATTTTTATTAGTAAATTCTATAACAATATACACCTGTATATGATTATTCGTATGACAGTATTCCAGAAATGCAATTGCCAAATTTCTTTTTGTTTAAACAATAAACAATGTTATGCGCGTCAGTTCCTACATATTCTTGTGCAAGTATGTGAGTAAAGGCTCTACACTATTTGCATTTAATTACATATGACGTGATCGCTATGACTCGGTAATAAGCAATGCTTTGAGTATTCATCATTTTAGTTTTAAATTTAGACCATTCCTTGAAGAAACTGTTTACTTTATTCTTACATTAATTTGAAATCAACGATCTTTGGACGAGCTATATTTTTTAAACGTAATGCAGTTTTTTGTGTATAAATTCGTTTAAATTACGGGCAACCAAAAAAAGAAACTTGATTGGTTTGCTTTTCTTTATCAGTATCATATCAATTCTTACGCATATCTAAATAGGGTACGCACGTATGGAGGTATATATATGCAATATTTGTGGAGTGAACAAACCAAGTGGGCGTTTACTTTGGAGTTAGCTCATCAAATACCGTTTAATTTAATTTTAAAGTTATGTACAAAAAGTCATTACCAAATTCTTTATAAAGATAAAATCGTATATTAATTCATGTACTTTATGAAAATGAATGATTTTATAGTCTATAAATATAATATTTTTTATTTATACGTATGATAAATATATGTATAGTGTACAAAAATAAAAAAAAGTTTTGTAAAATTGTTTGCAAAACACAATATACTCACCACTTTATAGTTCTTAATGCTCGGCAATATTCTCTTTTGTTCTACTTCTTTCTTTTGGAAAACTTCATTGATTATATTTCCGATTGCTTGAGCACCATAGTTTAATAATACCTGCCCCCCTTGATTTAATAACTGTTTTCCGGCACCGTGCAAAAGCGCGCCAAAATCGGCGCCACCATTTTGCCCCATTACGTCACTAATATACTAACTACACTTTCTCACTTTTTGCTATGACATTTTAGTGGATGGGCTGTTGCAAAAAAATTATTATTAATATTAATAATTATTATTAATATTAATAATTATTATTAAAAATTTGAGACAATGAAACCTCTTTTGTGTTGTGTTGTAACAATTAAAAATACCTACTTCAGGTCATTTAGTAGACTGTAGAGCAGGAGTTCCCAACCAGGGCGTAGAGAGTTTTTTTTTGTATAAGTTAAAATTAAAATTAGATTTTTAATTAGTTAAAATAAGTAGTGTGTTTTATTATAATAACAAAAATAAAGGGGGGCATGAAAATATTTTTTATAATTCAGGGAGGCTCAACAGAAGAAAGGTTGGAAAACCCTGCTGTAGAGTATTATTTCAGTAATATAATATATAAAAATGTATTCTTTTTTTATTTATTTTATTAATAATTTAAAAAAATAAAGATTATTTTGATCTAACAAAGTTCAAACACTACTGTAAGAAAAAATCAGATACATATCACTTTTGTTTTTTTTTTTAAGTGAACATAATAATATTAGAGATTTATGTAGTGCGAATACATTTATCCTCTGTTAACAATCATCTACATCGTTAGGTATGTTATTTTTAATGGTAGCAATTGAGCCTAACAGGAAAATAAATTAATATGAATCTACACAATGTATAGATGCATATTAATTTATATTAAATTATTTTATAAAATATGTCAGATTATTAGTAATTTTAACTTTAATAGCACTTTTTTATAGTTAACAAATGTCTATATTTAAGTATGAACCATAACATAAATAGAGACATCAGTGTCCTATTTTTAAAATTACAAATTTCTTATTTCCTATGTTTTAACAATCAACATATATTTGGTATTTTGACAAGAGATGCTGTAAATATTTTACAAATACCTTCATATTATGATGTCTATGAAAAGTTTAGTGCTAGCTACCACCAGCACTATACATTCAACAAAAATTCAATAATAATATTATACAGTGTTTAATATCAAGTAAATAATATCTTTTAATATATACTTCGCCAACCTTGAAAACTAAGCAGAGCAGATTCACAAATGTAAACTAACACAAAATTCATTTAAATACATAATTTTAACAACACAGTCTCACTACACAATGTTACATACTGACTGTGGGAAGCATAGATAAGCTACTATAATATAATGACATCATAGTGCGGAGGTACTAATTGACGGACATTTTTCAGATGTTTCTCAGATAGATACACATAAAAACTTGTCTTGTAGTACAGTAAGCAATTGTTATTCATATTTATTTCTTATTCTGTATTACATATTACTGTTGTATTTGGGGGGATATTAATAAGTACTTAAATTATACATAATATTAAGTTTCTTATAAGATTAATGATTAATTTAGTTATTTTTATATATTTTTTTATTATCCACCTATATTCTACTCTAGTATTTTAATATATATTTATATTCAAAATCTAAATATATTATCTAAATATATTTTAATTGCAACTTCAGACAATACATAAAAGTTATAAAATTTCATTAAATAAGTAAAAATTTAAAATAGGTAATGCAATGAATTTTCTTCAAAGCGATAAGCGACCTTAGATACTTTGTTAGAATATAATACTATGTTATGTATAAGAATTTAAGAAATAATTTGTTTATTTGCATTTGATATACCTATATTAAAGAAATTAAATAAAAATTATAAAATTAGAATGCGATGAACAACGCATGTGCCATGTTGTAAGGGTGGTGTCCGGTGAAAATTAGAAGTAAGCGGTATAAATAAAGTAGGTCGTTTTTATAGAGCACTATATTTATATATATCACGTAGTAAGTAAAGGAAGGTTAGGATATGATATCACTGATGGTTTCTTATACCATAAATCTTTTATCGAGATAGATCTGTACAAGCGAGATCATTTGTCGAGAATTTATAGAAGAATTAAAAAGAAGCGTTTGAATAAAATATACTTGTGTCACTTTCTAATTGAAACTTCAATCACACAACACATCAGAGGCATATTGAATTGTTTAAACACATTTTTGTTATTAAAATACGCAATTTTTCTATAGAAATACTACATTTTCTAATAAACACAGCCGTACCCAAAAATCTCACACGAAAATTGACAGCTCATAACCCGGCTAATTAGAAAAAACGGTGAACACAACAAGATGAAACGGAGTATTATGACCTACCAGGGTCATTCAACTTATATACAAATCACGTGGTAATTCAAATATTGAAGTTGTCCCACTTTACAATAGAGATGGCAGGGTAAAACTTATAAATTTTTTTGAATTCGTTCAATAGATGTCACTGCTGAGACCAGATGAGATGAGTTTTTAAATGTCCGCCGTTGATGATAAAGGTATCTTTAACAATGTGATATTTTAAAAATATATAATTTTCCCCAAACTAAGTGCCCGTTATTGTGTTTTAACGTTGAGTTGAGCTTATGTTCCTTCGATAAATTCATGTGACTGTGATCTCAATATATCACAATTTCGTAGTTAGTCGAACAGAGTTAGGACTCGTTTCTGGCGTTTGGGTTTATTTGCGATTTTTTCATTTTTGGTGTGCTCATCAAGAAGGTCAAGGCCCAATTATGCCATCAGACAAGCAATGCTGCGTTCCTGGATGTAAAGAGACTGAAGGTACCTATGTCAAATATATGAATACCCGTCATACTCGTTTTACTGTCGTAAGTATTATAATATATTAATGTTATTTTAAAGTGTCAATCAATTTTATAGAAATGAAATAGAAATTGGTAATTTATTTTCAGAATTAGTGTTTATATCTGAATGGTGGTCAGGAACAAAGTTGTCCATATACATAAAGAATGATGATACCTAGATACCATGGGAAAGAACATGGCTATCTTATTATGAACCATAGTTATGAAGTAGACTGGCTCATGGGTTGGCACTTCTGTGACGGTATCAAAGTTTTAGGAGTGAGTATATCGATCTGATATTTCTATAAATTACATAAATGACTTTTGTTTATAGTGTTCATAATATTTCAAACTGTTGTTGGTAAATAAAACTACATTCTAATAAAACTACAATACTATTATGATCAAAAATAAATGTAACTAAAAACATAACAATATAATTATTAATAATATGTAGAATATGCTATAGCTATATATGTATGTATATGTGTATGTACTTACATTTTTTTTAATATATTTTTTAATTTTGTATTAACATCATGCTATTTAAACAATTTGAGGCTTGTTCATTTTCAAAAAGCAAGCAAAAAAAAAGCAAGAAAGCTCCATTCGAGGTATTAAAAAAATAGATACAGAGTAATATTTTCATTGTTTTAACTAATGTTCATGTTGCAATTTATAAAATTCCATAGTGATTCTATGTAGCATTGTTGTTGCTAGATGAATGTAGTTTTAAATAACAATTTAGCTATAAAAATATAACAATACAAAGTAACTAGAAAAATATTTTCTAAACTATAGTATAGTACTTAAAATTGAAAAAACATGAGATCCTTTTTCAAAGTACCCCAGAAAGTACCACAGAAAAGTAAATGTTGTAGCCAAAAGAGTAAAATAATTATATTAATTTTGAAATCTGTTCAGTCATAATATAGATTAGAATGCACAAACATGCAGTATTAATTCCAATAGACAATGTATGTTTATATGTATATTATAAATTTATTTTATACTATATGAATTATATATTTTAATTTTATAATAATTTCTGCATAAACATTCCCTGTACTCAATATATTCAATTCATTTAACATAACTTAAAATAATTGGAATATTTTCATGATATGTATTATAAATTTAGTCAGTTATAACTTATAAACTAGTTAATAACATTAAATATTTAATGGTGAAATAGTTAATGAGTTATACAATATATACTTAATTAAATATTTAGACCTGAATTTGCTAATAACATGGCTATCTCAAAGCTGAGTTTCATAAATGAGTGATGTTAAACATAAATCATAATATAAGTTTTTTCCTATAAAATTTCCATTTAGAAAAAGATAAACAATTCTTTATTTAATTAAATATATAAGCAAATTAACTATCTATTGGCCTTTATGGTTGTTAAACTTTTGTGATTTCAATGAAATTTCATTATGGACATAAATTCCCGAATCCCATTCCAAGTATTTCTATATACTTGGAATGGGATTCGAGGAGCTCTTCAATATAGTTTTCGCTACTATATCGAAGTTCAGATCGAGAAGATGTATCTGTAAAGATATGTATGCTATCAGAAGCTTGTTGAATAATACCGGCGCGGGCACTGGCTTAGTAGTTTCTTGGCTCAATTTTGCATTTAGGACATCCTTAGACTGTCTCTTCTGTGTCACGGGGCTTATTATTGAGATGAGAATTTTCAGGAGGAAGGCGTCAAATCGAAAACGCGTTGTGGATTTACTTGAGGTATCTGTTCCATACGCGTCACCCATATTACGTTCCTTCTGTGCTGAAATCGTTTTTGAAAATATACGCGCATGGCGCATTTACGATTTTTCTAAAATTAATCAAAAGAACAACAATCTTTTGAAAAATATATCATAGCTACATTATGAAATTAAGTTGAATTTGGAATTTGAAGTCAATCGCGAGATTTTGAGCTTCACACTACGTTTGTATTGGAAATCGGTAATATTGTAAGAGCTTATAGGATGATTGGTAGTTATAATTTATATTGTAATCCCTTAATTATATATACTCAGTCTATGGTAAATATAATCTATAGGTACATATAATAAAGAGGTCGAATGTCTGTACATAGAAAAAAATGTTAAAAGCCGAGTCGGGGACGTAAGAAGAGAAATAGAACAAATCCAGTTTTTTTTTTCATTTATTTTTTTCTGTCTGTTTGTCTGTTTATAAGGGCTAATCTCCAAAACTGTTGGACTGATTTAAATGAAATTTTGATGGTGGTACCTTATATCCCCGGTCAACATTTTAAATACTTTTCA